TGGTCTCTTCATTGGTTCATTGTCCCTGCTCCTGGGCCATAATTGGTACTTGGTAATGCTTATCAAATTGAAGGGATTGAAATCAAAGGGCAACAGATATTATAATCTGATTCAATAAACCAAGTAAAATTAGGCTTTTATTTGTGGTTGTTGTTAATTCTCACGCAAAATTCAAATCTTGCGTGAATTTTGGGACACCCTTTATATAGCACCTAATCTATACCAGGCCAAAAACAAAACTATGTTTGCTTGGTTTTTACTGCACACCCCCCACTGGAGATGTGCCCGCAACCAAGGTACATGCCCTTGACCAGAATCGAACCTGGGACCCTTCAGTCTGCAGGCCGACACTCTATCCACTGAGCCAAACCAGTTAGGGCTGTTTTAAATTTTAAATTAAAAGGATGTGTTTTAAAAATTTAAACCAGAATCTTAGGCATTATGGGAAAATATTTGGAAAAGCCAGGTAGAGTTCATTTCATGCATGTTGAAATTTGCAAATTAATCCTGAGTACATTTTACATGTTTTAATTGTATGGACCAGCCTCAACTTCTAAAGCCCAACCACCTCTACCAGTGGAAACCTTCCAGTTTCATGATGGAAGAAGGTCTTTGTGAAGCATTGTGCCTGTTTTCTAACACCTCCTAGATCCCAAGTGTAGTGTAAATAGTGAACTTCTGAAAACCTATACATTCCTTTGACTAATTTTTTAGCTCAATTTTCACCCAGTCACTTCTTCAGTATTGGGGGAGCCTCCAACACAGTAACCTTCTGATCTCAGTTCACTGAAGGGCAAGAAAATTGTCATGGAGAGTGAGAAGCACCAGCAATAGAAGACTGGAAGTTTTCAGGGAGTGTCTGCCCCACCTGGGGCAGAGACCCATTTCCTCTCAGAGCTGAGTCCCTCGTGTGTATATACTTACAGGACTCCTTACACAGCTGCCTAAAGCCACAAATATGTTGAAAACTATCTCTATTCTCCTCTTCTCTGAAAAAGCTGACTTAAGGAAAGGAGCTACATAATAAACACACGAGTCCTAGAAATAAGCCTTATTATAGAGCCTTGCTTGATATGAATCAATGGCAACTACTCTGCATGTTCTTCAGAGAAGAGATTCCATATCTACCTATTAATGTAAAACCTTCCTATTTTGTAATTTCACTTCAAGGCATATACATGTAATGCACATTGTTAAATTGTTTCAAATTAAATTGATTAAAATTTGTATCCAAGAGCTCCAAATCAACTGCAAATCACTCTGTAAACATTTCCTACATGACTACAAGGCACCTTTGGGAATTTATGAAAGAATAAAATGAGGTGCTAGAATTAAAGACATTCTTACGTATATAAAGAACCAAACTGGATAGTTTAATGAAAAAGTATTAGGTTAAGTGGTACAAGTGGAGATACCAGCCTGCAGTAACAATAACATGGCAGAAGAAAAAGGACTAGATGGGGAAGACTTCTGGAAGGTTTTTGTTTTAATATATATTTTATTGATTTTTTACAGAGAGGAAGGGAGAGAGATAGAGAGCCAGAAACATCAATCAGCTGCCTCCTGCACACCCTGCACTGGGGATGTGCCCGCAACCAAGGTACATGCCCCTGATCGGAATCGAACCTGGGACCCCTGAGTCCGCAGGCCAACACTCTATCCACTGAGCCAAACCAGTTAGGGCCATCATAGAGTTCTTATTAGATGTAAAAGGAGCCTAGTTTGATCACAGCAGGGCTCCCAGAAGGAGGGGTCAAGAAGCCAGGATGGCCCTGGAAATCAGGCAGAAATGCTTTCATCAGTGATTCTCAACCTTGACTGCACATGAGAGTCAAAGGGGGAGCTTTTAAAGCCACAAAAGATAAATTATTTTAGTATCTGAGATAACTTAGGCATCAAGATTTTTCATAACTCTCCACTTATTTTGTTATACAGCCAGTGGTTGAGAACCACAACTAACACAAGAACTTCTGTTAGTTCTAGTGGAAAAGAACAGTATTTGAAAGTCATGATTCAGTTATCACTATACTTCAGGACTGTACACAGCACTTCCCTTCCAGTGGACTTGAAACTAAATTTAAACTTTTCTCAAAGGACTCTACATCATCATGTCACACTAACTACATTGACTCTAGATGGCCTTTATGTTAGATATTTATAAAAACACAGACTTAGCACTCCAGACTAACGGGATCTTACAGATGATTCCAAATAGAACCTCTAGCTTAGAGAATAAATTATTAAACAACTAGAGGGCCGGTGCACAAAATTCGTGCACAGGGGTGTGTGTGTGTGTGTGTGTGCGCGCGCCTCAGCCCAGCCTACCCCCTCTCCAATCTGGGACATCCCTCTCACAATCCAGGACTGCTGGCTCCCAACCACTCATTGCCTGCCTGTCTGCTGTCCCCTAACTGCTTCTGCCTGCCAGCCTGATCCCCTCCTAACCACTCCCCTGCCAGCCTGATCAACGCCTAACTCCTCCCCTGCCAGCCCGATCACCCCTAACTGCCCTCCCCTGCCAGCCATCTTGTGGCACCCACCTTGGTTCCACATGGGGGCAGCCATCTTTGACCTCATGGGGGTGGCCATCTTGTGTGTTGGAGTGGTGGTCAATTTGCATATTACATAGGATAAGTGAGCACATTCATACATACACATGCATATAGTGTGTGTGTGTGTGTATGTATGTATGTATACACATACATACACACACACACCCATCAGTTTTTACAAATTTCCCAATAAAGCATTATTTTGACAGAGTGGTAACATGTTAAGTATCTGACCTGTGTTTCTTTGCAAGGTTTGAAGGAGAAGTTCTGCAGAAGTCTGACGATAGCAAGTTTCATGTTCATGATAGCAAACCTCATGCCAATGCAGTTTCGGGGTCCACTTCCAAAGGGCATGTATGTGTAAGGATTTATACTGTCCTGGTTCTTCTTATTGAACCTGGTTCCACAACAGTAGATTAAAACAATTAATAAAACATAAACACCACAAGAACTACATGTTTGGGGTTCTAGTATATAGGATACTCCAGTGGGCTAGTCGTGAGATCCTGCTCTGGTTATTTTGCTGTGAGAAATATAAGCTAGAGATCATTTCCACTCCCCTTACTCTTTAGGAGCTTTCAGTTTCATTGAAGAAAAAAGATGAATGCTGTTTAAAAGAAAATTTATTTTTAAACACTAAATTACATTCAGGATGTTGAAATGTTCACACTCTAAAGGCAAGAAGGAAATGAAGGAAAAGAAGGTTTCTCCCTCCATCAAACTCATGCTTATCACATGCTTATGGAGGAAGGAAGCAGGAATAATACTTCCTATTAATTATCTTTTCCTTACCTTCCCTTCTTTCCCCTCCCCTCCTCTGACCTCTCCCCTTCTGTTCCTCTCTCTCTCATTGAATAGCTTAAATCAGATGACTTACATTGGCATATGATGCTCCTCTACTCTCATATGATCACTGGTTTCCTTATGTATCTCTTTCACAAGGCCAGTGGTCGGCAAACTCATTAGTCAACAGAGCCAAATATCAACAGTACAACGATTGAAATTTCTTTTGAGAGCCAAATTTTTTAAACTTAAACTATATAAGTAGGTACATTGTTATGAACTTAATTAGGGTACTCCTAAGACTTAGGAAGAGCCACACTCAAGGGGCCAAAGAGCC